TTTAATTATTTAATTATTGTCACGTGTCAACTTATTTAAAATTTAGATGAAAAAACTTGAATAGGTTAGGTACCTATTTTGACATAAAATACTTTAAGTACTTATTTTGACCAAAAATATAACTTTATATATTTATTTTGACCAAAATATATTTTAAGTATTTAAATGAAAAATAAAATATATTTTAAATACTTATTTGTTATTTGTGATATAAACCTTAAAATTATTTTGACAAATTCAAATGTCCTATAAAAACTATCGAGACTAGGGTTGTAAATGAGACGAGACAGATCGTGAGCTACTCGAGATCGACTCGATCAAGGCTCGATAAATACTCAAATCGAATTGACTCGGCTCGAGCTCGAGCTCGACTCGAGTTCTTAACGAGCCTAAACGAGCTACTCGATACTCGACTCGAAAAGCTCGTGAGCAGCTCGAAAAAATGTTATATTATAATTTTAGATTTTTAAAAAATACATTTTAAAAAATATATTAAAAATACACTATTTATAATTATAAAATTTTAAAAATATATTAAAAATTTTATAATACAACTACCCTCAAATTTTAATTAATGTACTTGTAATTAACCCTAAACCCTAACCCATAAATCCTAAACCCTAAATTATACTTACCTCATAAATCACTATCAAGTAGATTAATTAATGTCTTTGTAATAAATTCTAAACCCTAAACCCTAAACTATAAACCCTAAACCCTAAAACCTAAATATGATTATGTGATAGAGGTTAAGTTATGCACATGAAGGTAACATACAAATTATGCAAAATGATGTTATGTAACTCCTAAATAAATCAATCGCATACTTATACATAAACATATCAACATGCAAAATAAATATGCACAACTAATTAAAGAAAACAATCTTAAACAGGGACTAAATTAAGAGAAATCTAAATTTGAGGACTATTTTAAGCTAAATATACTAACTTTAGAATGATGATTAAATTCACGTAAATGTAAAATTAATCTTACAAAATTGGAATTAAACCAATGACTTAAATACAAAATGTGCATAAACTATAGGGTCTTATATGCAATTGATCCTATTCAATTTAAGCTAAAATAATATGGAAAATAACATAAATGACACCTGAACATTTAAAACAAATTTATGCAATTTCATTTGATTCAACCTAAATTTATTAGATTAAAGTATACAAATTATCATTAAACTATGTCGGAAGGGTCTTTTAGATATGAAAGTTTAGATAGTTACAAAATAGTTATTAAATTTATTAAAATATTATAAATTAGTGATAATTCTTGATAAATTTGAATATTATTTTTATAACAATTAGGTAGGTTTTTAGAATCATTTTAAAATAGTTTAATAAGTTTAATGATCATTTTATAATAATTTGAATTTTTTAATATTATTTATGTTGTTTAATGATTATTTTATAACTTAAAAAAACGATGATTAAAAAGATATTTCAACATAATTTATTAGATTATCAAATTAAAGTAGATGATTAAATCTCAAAAGTAATAATAACAGAGGGACTAAATTATAATTTGACGAAATTTTTTAAAACTTTCAGGTTTCATCTTCGTCACTTGAAGTAGGAACAGTTCCAACCATGACTGATCCAAACGTTGCCGGAATCAACAACCAAGCTTCCCAAGTAGGCGGACTCGACCGAGAGGCTCGAGTTTTACGGTACAAAGAGAATAGAAAGAACCGAAGATTCGAGAAGACAATCTGATACGCTTCCCGAAAGGCCTACACCGAATCAAGGCCAAGAATCATAGGCCGGTTCGTCAAAAGAACGGAAACCGACATTGATGTCATTGAGGACCACATGTTTAACTCCATGCCTTCTGCTTTTGCAACGGCTTTCATGGCAGAAACAAAGTACAACATCGTCACGTCGTACGAGTCAGATTAAGAGGAAGAAGAAGATTATGATTGTGTATTATAGTTATTGAGTTCCGGAAAGTAGAATAATCCAATCCAGAGGCAATTGAAATTAATGGGAAGAACTGTGTATTAATGGAGTTTGTGTTAGCCATTTTTGTTTTGCAAGAAGATATTAGTTTCGTCTGAAGTTGATTTCAATCTCTGAATAAAAGAAAGGGTTGATTACGTATAAAAGGGGATGGGTTTCAAAAGTTGTTAGCCATTGTTCCAAAAACTTGACCATTGTTGTTGCTGAGCTGTTTTGAAAGTAGATCATATCCCACATCGGTGGTTTTTGGGGAATAAGGGGTAAAAAGAGTGTATAATAGGGGGATGGTTTCAACAATTGAAAATTAATTTGTCTTTGAGCTTGAATCGAGTTCAAAATCAAGCTCAAAATCGAGCTCAAAATCGAGCTCAAAATCGGGCTTGAATCGAGCTCAAAATTGAGTTTTAATCAAGCTCGAGTCTTGAGTTTTAGTTAAGCTCTTGATTTTTTTGAGTTCGAGTCTTTTCGAGTTCGAGTCGAGCTTGAAAATTTTAGGCTCGTGAGTTTTCGAGTCGAGTAGAGCTTACATTTAAAGTTTTCGAGTTCGAGTCGAGCTCGGCAATACTCGAGCTCGACTCGGCTCGTTTACACCCCTAATCGAGACATAAAATCTGTGTGGGGACATTGAGACATAAAATTGATATTTAAAGCCAACCAATCAGTAGGCTCATAATCAGTCATACCAACCCTAAAATAAACTCCCAAAAATGATCGTTCGATCCAACTTGAAAAACTGATGCAGGGGGGATCCGAGACAGATGATGCTGAGCTGTCAGATTGCACGTTGATGGCGCTGAGATACCATGAGTTGGCAGATCAGCGCAAAGGCGGGAATTGATTGTGACATGTTCCTCATTGGTGTCGTTTTGAGTATGTTTCAGTCTTTTGGCCATAACTTTGGCTACAGGTGTCAGAATCGCGCATAAGACCCCAATCCAGAAAGCTCTTTTCGACGCGCACGCTCTCCACATTGAGCTACGCTCCATGTGACCTTTTTTTCAACCTCAAATTCTACCGTTTTCCCCTCCGGATCACTAGATTTAGTTATTTTTTACTATTTATGGTAATATTTCGATTGTTAATGGATTTTTGGGAGATTGCTTATTTTATTTCGAATTTCAATTTAGAGTGATTTTCGGGATTTTGCTATTTTTGGAAAAATTCGAATAAAGACGATTTTTGGCTATAACAGTCCGGCTTGTGGACTGCTTTTTGGCATTGTTTGATTTTATAATATTTTATTAAACCCTAGAGACTTTTTTTCTCTGGTTTTTGGGCGAATTTTCTCTTGTGAATCGTCTGTCGGAGCTAGCCTACAGGATAATCACTATTCTGTCTGGCGTCAAAAACCCTGCGATTCCTTCACCTCACGCCCGAATGCCCTCACTATAAAACCGATACTTCTTCATCCTTTCCCGCCGGTTTCTCCACTTGTTCGTTAATTGTTTCCTCCAAATCCCATACGCGGTTTTACTAATATTAACTTGTTATATAAATCCATTGGATTCATGGCATTGCAATCAAAGTTTATATCTCAATCAGTTTCGGTTTTAACTTTAGTTGAGCATCTGAGCTTCAAATTCAAGTCGATAACAATGGCGGTGCATTGCATTATCAGGAGGAGGAGGAGGAAGAAGAAGAAGATGGATTTGGAACTGAAAACGAAGAGTTTGAAAAGTAGGGTCCAACGAATAAAAGCGGATATGGGAAGGATAGGGGAAGATCAAAGATGCATACGAGAGGAGCAAAGGAGTATAGCAGAAAGGTTTGGAGATGTTAAACGCCAATGCGATGAACTCAGAAACGATTATGAAGCAATCGGCTTTGAATTGGATTCGTCTTAGTATTATGTTCAGCATCTTACGAGCTCACCAAGATGGTGACTTTGATCAAACTGCCACCTTCAATTACTTCCTTTGTTCCATTTCTAATAGAAGAAAGTTATAGTTTCTTTATGTCAGTGTCGACTATCTGGAATCTCAAAGGATACAATATCACGATTGCTTTGCAAATTTGACTTTTTTTTTCAATGTTCTTACCCAACATTTGCCTTTTTTGTTCTGTCAATGAAGAAATCCATTTCTGCGCAATACAATTGACGATCGAACAATCTTTTACATCTCAGCAGAACACCAAAACACCAATGCAACAACAGTATTAAAAGTTACAATTTCAAACGATATAATAGTGCCCCAAAACTTCAAATAAAGTGAGACACTGAAACCTAATCATGCATATCAGATACCTGTCAAAGTATAAATCAAGACATGGAAAACTTATATCAACTCTTTAGCAAAAGTAGCCGTTAAACCTATTTATTTGAATTTGCAAGCATTTCACCTTACGCCTAGGGGGCCACTGTCCCCCAATTTTTTTATTATTAAAAAAATGGGAAAATATGAAATTAGGGCTCCAAATTTCAGTGTATTTTTATTTTTCTCTCCTCATATTCTATGGTTAATTATACTTTGCTCCATCATTTTCTATAATTAATTATATTTTGCCCTCTTAAGTTGGAATCCTAACTCCGTCCCTGTTTAATATGGTTATATGTTGGGTTAGAGATTGTAACCCGAATTGTATTTGATACAGTCAAAGTTCATGTGTAACTCTTTTGGTGAAGAATTAGGGGGGGGGGGAACGGGTCTATTGTGGATGTCGAAGTTATTATACTCTTATTCAAATATGTTTTATTTTTAAAGATTTTTTTCTATATTTAAAGAATGATACTCTCTGTTATCATATTTGAATATGTTTTGTGGCGGTTGTTCAATGATCATAATCGTTTGGATGTGTGCAGTTCATTAACATTCTAAAAGAAGCTAACTCGGCTACTAATTTTTTTAGTTTTTAGTTTTGCAACAATAGGTGTTACTGATGTATTATACTAATTGAGGGTTTAGAAATTTAAAAATAAATCCAAATAACGTAGTTATTTAGGAAGAGAGAATAACTTAAGAAAAACTCCAACACAAGACGCAGGTATCACTCCAAACAAAGAAGAGGAGCCATTCAACGGTATTTTCATAGAAAAATGCATAGACATACAAATGTAATAGAAAAAAAGGTGCAGTTGAATAAGATGCTTCATCAAAGCTTCCTTTAATTTGCTACTTGTCTCTTGCTATCAATTCACTGTAGAATCAAAAGAAAAAAGAAAGCATTAGCAGTTGAAGCAAAAGCACAAAGCATTACTCATCATGATTATTAGTAGAGAAAGACCGGAGGGCAGAAGTGAGTAGTGAGGCTTTCAAAACGTCATGCTTCTCTCTGGCTTTGAGGATTTGGAACATTAGAGCTAGCCTGATTTGTGTATTTACGCTCTGTCGTCTCACCAGGATTGTCTCCTCCCGAAGTTGCTCACATTCCACATCAATGGCTTCCAGTTTTTCTCTTAATTCCCCTTCCACCTCTTTTATTTCTTCCCTTTGCTTTTTCAGACCACCACTCAATCTCGCCGACCTCCTTTTCTTACGCTACAAAATAGAAAGACAATAATTCAAGTGTTGGATGATGTCATCTGCTGAGGATATCAATGTTTGTTGATCAACATAAACACCTTTTCTTATGCTTATTATGCTTGAATTTAAAGCTTTCTTAATAATAAAAGAATATATAGTGAATAAGGAGGAGCTTTCAATGAAGAAGAAGACGAGAACTAAAATAAATACCCTATGCTGACGGCCAGCCTTTGCACCTGATGTGTTGGAATTCATCCTGTAATTGTTTCACCTCAACTTTGTGTTGTGTTTGCTCCCTCAATTGGATGCTTATATAGGCCAAGGGACGTCTGATTCTTTTATTCTCAGCAATTTCTCCTTACAATATTATCAATTACCAGCTAACTTTATTGTCTTTTATATGTCGATCTCTGTACTATGATATTGATTTCCTGTTGGCGAATTATTTATAAATTACATTTTTTTTCTTGCTGTCTAGTATGAACGGTATTTATTCCCCCCACTCTCCACGATTTAATTATTTATTATCTGTATGAATCGAGTGACCTTAATAGTAAAAAATATTATTATATTTTGAAATTACGAGTTCGAGCACTAAAATTCAATGTATGAACGTTTAATGTAAAATGATAATAATTATCTTTAAATAAATAATGCTTCATATTTACCTCATATTAATTAAAAAAATAATTATTCATTGTCTACTTTAGGTTGTTCTCCTGGATATACATTGCAATTATGATTTCTTTGCTTATACTGAATTATGTTTATTATAATAGTAGAGGTCTATTGTTGTATTCATTATTTTTTATATCTAAAAAATAATTAATTTTTTTTTTTAAAAATAAAATTTTCTACAAAGTAATTATATAGTTTTTTCTCTTAAGGTATCGTCTCGAACGACGATCTAAATATCATCGTCTCTCTTATTATTATTTTTCAACTTTATATAACTCTAAATAAACATCCTCCCTATTTTGATTTCTTCCTTTTTCTCATATTCTTGAACGTTAATTTTTGTCTACTTTTATGATATTTTTTCTATTGTTATGATAGTTTGACGTTTCATGTTGCATTCATCACGACACTTCTCCGATCATAAAAGTTTGACGGTCCCATTTAGTTAGATCTCCTTTTACGATAATTTATTGATGCATCCAAGACCGTTCGCGAACAATCTGTCAGATTGGCTCTATCAATCTCTATGCCTACATCAATTTTGCGTCTAGGTTCAAAGAGAGACTGAGAGATTATTGATAATTGTCATGTTTTTTGTGGAAGATGAAGCATGTATTCAAGGGAAGGTTTTGGTTTTATTTTTCGTCACACCCCTTGAGTTTTCATGTTGAGATTGTGTAGCCTTTGTTGTACCTTATCTTTTTATTTAATTGAAACCTAATTTCATTTTTTTTTAAATTATGAGATATACATGTGTAAAAAATCACCGATAAAGGAGGAAAAATAATATATCAAAGAAGAGAAGAAGAAGATATGCATTAAAACACGATCTAAGATTTAATCAACTTATTTTTGAATCCTAATTCTTTATATATTTTTAGGGTTTAAATAAAAAGAAATCTATTCAAATTGAATTTTCTACTCTTCATTAGTAGGCAAAATAAAAATTAGAATTTTACACAAATTGAATTTCTCTAACTGCATATACATATTTTGGCATATATTTAAAATAAATTTCTTCCTTGGTCATCTCAAACTCGATCAAAAAGAATTTAAATCAATACGAATATGTAAAATCAGAAAACAACATTCTCACATCACATTAATATCGCTACTAAAATTCTTGGTCCAAAATAAGGAATATAATTTAAATTTTCCTTTAAACGTGTTCTGGAGACAACAATCAAAAAAGAGAAAATAATCGCGCGATGTAAGCACTTGGTCGAGCGATTTCTGTCTAATATTCGCACATTCTAGCGATCAATGTTTCGAATTATTTGCTATTATTGTTCTCTTATTCAACTTTTTTAAATATTTAATTAACACCGTTTTGTGCAAGTAGAAACTTCACAAATAATCCTTCAGCTCTATGATGGTTTTGATGAATAATATATGGAAAAGGCTGTTTGGAAGAAATCAAATAAAATATTAAGAAAATGTCCAACGGAAAGCTTGAGAAATTTCGTATGAGAGATACAACTGTCTGAATCAAGCAAGGGGGTTGATTATGTTTGATTTTAATTAATGATGTGAACGTGTTTTCTTTATATTCTCTAAATGAACCGTATAATTTTTTTTCAGAAACTGAAAGACACACTCCACAATAATTAAAATTAAACGTTGAAGTCAGATCATGATGATTTTTTTTTGTTGCCTTCCAGTTCTAAGGTCTCGCTTTGATTAATCTGGATCGATCCAGGTCGCACACCTATTTTTGGTGGGTGAGTCTCTCAGCGGGGATTTTCTGCATACACGGACTCGAACCTAAGACTTTGCTTAAGCGATATTAAGCTGCTTACCACTTGAACCAATCCCGTTCGTAGATCATATGATGCTTTATTATGGGGATTCACATTATAATCTTAAACAAATTCTACAAAAAACAAACAATGTTACGAGTCATGCCGATAATCATGCAAGTCACTGCTAATTTCATCTTAATCGGTTAAACTGAGTCTCTTTCACTTACGAACATTAATTTTAGTCACGTCAATATTGTTGAAGTAGCTGATGCGTCAAGGAAACTGCATGGAAAATGCACTGCCACGTTAAGCCAAAAAAGAGTATTTCTTTTAGAAAAGGACTTTGATAATTTGGAATCCGAGAGCGCCTAAATGTGTGCACGTTATTTTCGAGTCTTAGCGTGAAACACGTACATCGGTTGATCTGTTTTAGAATCTTTACATAAAATTGATACGCTAACGACTATTTTTTTTAGAGAAAATAACCTCAGTGACCAAAAATCCCATATAATATACGATTTTAACCAACTTTTTCCGGATTTGCCAAAATGACCAACAAAATCGCAATGCGATAGCTAATTCGCAACGCGATCTCCATTATCGCAAATTCGCGTTGCATTTTCGCAATGCGATAGTTGAAAATCGCGTTGCGATGGTCTACAGTATCGTTGCGATTTTCCCAATTCGCAATGCGAATAAGTAAATCGCAACGCGAATTGGGAAATTCGCAATGCGAATAAGTAAATCGCAACGCGAATTGGGAAAATCGCAATGCGATAATGACTATCGCAATGCGATAATAAAAAATCGCAACGAGATACTTACTTTCGCAACGCGATACTGACTTTCGCAACGCGATTTACTTAGCGCCATTCGTATTAACGCGTATTTTTTTTTCAAATTCCAAACACGTATTTTTTCTTAATAAATCGGAAAATGAACCGTCCACAGTAATCGCACGCAACTCATAACCTCAAACCCAAAAACACAACACTCAGTCCCATCTCCATCTCTCACTCTCTACGGTGAAATCCGTCCCCATCTCCGAAGATTTCCGTCCCCATCGCCGGCGAAATCCCTCACAACCATTCACAGTCAAAAATCCCTCACAATCATTCAGAAATGGAAAATCAACCTCCGATGGTTAGTTTTTTTTATTTTTATTTTGAAATTTCTGCATTATTTTAGGTTTTTCATATTGAGATTGATGATAAGTTTACTGGTAATTTCAATAATAGATTAACCATTTCACTTAGATTTCTTATTAAATTCATTCGATTGCTGCCAATACTGCTAAACTGTTTAGCCTGTGAAGTTAGTATTTGTCTTTGCTTTGTCTTTTGGTTGAAGTAATGCAGAAGAAGAATAGTTTCGAGAATGAGAATCGCAACGCGGAAATGACTATCGCAACGCGAAATAAAAATCGCAACGTGAAACCAAAATCGCATTGCGATTTTCATTTCGCATTGCGATTTTCATTTCGCGTTGCGATTTTCATTTCGCGTTGCGATTTTCATTTCGCGGTTGCGATTTTCATTTCGCGTTGCGATTTTCTGGTCGCGATAGTCATTTCGCGTTGCGATTCTCTCGTTGCGATAGTCATTTCCGCGTTGCGATTCTCATTATCTCGTTGCGATTTTCATTTCAACCAAAAGACAGAAACAGTGTTGCAAATTTTAGTTTCAAGAATAAACTACTATTTTATGTTTATTGTTTTGTTTTTGGTATATCTTGACAGTGTAATTTTTGGTATATCTAACTTGGTATGTTTATTGTTTTTTTGTAGAAATTTTTGTCGGCTTCATTGACATTAAGGAATAAAGTTAGCCTAGCCACTACAATTGCTTCGAAGCTTTCACCTGCACAAAGAAAATTGTTTGAAGAAACCTGCTTCGGGCCATGGCTGAGAGTACAGCATCCGGGTGGAGATGCTAGTTTGACCCATTTGTGGCTTCAGACCATGACTAGCGATCTACCTGACAGTATACAACGTGGTGAGGAAGAGATATGGTTTCATTTTCCACCGGCGTATACTTGTTTTGGGCGGAAGGAGTTCTGCTTAATCACTGGTCTACGATTCGGACACGATGATGTAGGCCGGTACACTCGTCATATCACCCACCCATCATGGTTATCCAGGGTTTTTCCTGATGAGTCAATAGAGAAGCCGAACTTACACGTCGACGACATGAAGAAATTGTTTAATAAGAAAGATGGTTTTACTCGGATGAATGACGTCGATGTTGTCCGAGTATGCCTTCTACTACTTTTGTATGCCGGCTTTCTAGGCAGAGAGGCCAGACAACCTATTCCTCAGGAGCTAATATTATTGGTAGAGGACCTAAATGCATGGAATCTGTTTCCGTGGGGTTCATATATATGGAAAGCTACCTGGACTAAGTTGTCGTCTGCCTTTGATGACCGCAAAAGTTTGCGGGGCGATGGGTCGAAATACACTTTGTCAGGCTTTGTTTGGGCCTTTAAGGTAAGAATTTCTATATAATGTTTTCAAAATTATAATTAATTATTTAACAATTACTAATGTTTGTTATTATATTGTTTGTAGATTTGGATTTTCGAGGCTTTCCCCAGCATGCGGACATATGCATTAAAATCCTCAGATGATATTCCTAGGGCTATTTCCTGGAAGAGGAAACGTATGTTGGATTGGGAAGACTTAATACCATATGCGACAATAAATAATGTAAGTTAACACAAATACTATCATATATAAACAAGTTATTAATAGTAGACGTTTAACTTTGTTTTAGTTTTTATATTATTAGGAGGCCAACACTCCATTAATGAGACTGACACCCACGGAGGCTGAGCTTGCCACTGATTGGTGGCAAGCTAGTCAGCGTTTTTTTGATGGCACGAATGATGAGCAG